TTGATATTTTGTGTCCTTCAAACTAGATCTCTGTCATATTTTTGGGAAAAGAAAAAGGCTAATACAGAGACAAAAAACAAGGAGATCAAGGATATTTCCTTTAATTTCTTCAGTTTCTAAAATCTTACATTTTATGAAGTTGTAGACAAATTCACAAGATTTAAATAATATTGCATTCTGCAGATATCTGTAACTGATCCATTGTCATCAACTTGCATCTCCATGCTCAGGGTAAGAAAGCAATTGGTTTTCTTGGATAATGTGTTTAACTGGGTGAAGAATGAGGAAGGAAGTTACAGATTTGAGATTATTCAGATTCAGTTCCCACAAACATGATATTAGTTTCAAGCACAGAGACTTAGGTAAGATTAGAAAATAATTAAACTGAATAGCACTGGAAAGCAGGGATTTTGGTGAAGGTATGAGAAAGTAGGATGCTTTACTTTTAAAAGATTGGGTTGAAAATAGATGAAGCACAATTTAGCAGTCCAGAGGTAAATCTGACAAAAACTTAGTTGTCAAGACATATTGAAAGAGTAAAAATTGTATTTGGCCACACCTTAAATACACAAATGCTAACAACAGCTGATGAGCATAAGGAAAAGGTCTGGGTGCTTTTCTTGGTATCTGACACCACAGGTAAGCAAAACTGCTCTCAAATAATCTTACCTGCAGCCAGTCCAGGAGTGGGTTGGACAACCCCAAATGACTGTACTTTCAAATGGCTCACAGTGTATTTGAGAAGGCAGAAACAGGCAGAAAATAAAAACATCAGGGAGAACTGTAAGAATTATAGAGACAAGTTGAAGAGGTGTCATGGGGACAAAGGTAACATAGGTTTCTCTCTGGTCAGAAGTTAGAGAGCATCCCAGGGTAACTTAGCCGTCTTCCATGAACTCTGAGAACCATCAAAGTCTGTCCATTTTATTTGAAAAGGCATGAAATATACAGATCACAGTTTACAGTAAGTAAAATAAGTCATCAGGTTCTGGGGTGCCCTGGTGAAGTATTTTCCTGACTTCAATTTCCTTTCCATTCAGCAGTCTTCCAGTAACTCTACCTTGGGCCTCATTTCTGCCGTGGGGCTGATTCTTTCTTGTCTCAATCCAGACCATGGTAGGCGAACTACAGGTGATGACAATTTATTTATGCTCATCTATGTCTTCAAAGAGGCAAGGCTGTGTTTTTACACAAAATAAATTAGTCACAGTTTTACTTTACAACAAACTATTATTGTCAATGAGTGTAATATAAGCTAAGTGGTGTTTAATTTAGTCAGCCTGGTAAAGTTGACCATTTAGATTGTTTCCAGTTTATTTTTTATTGTCAAAGCAATAATTCATTTAACATCTTTATACATACATCTTCATACTACTTATTTCCTCAGAATAAACACATAATAATGCTTAACTTATAGATTGTTTAAGAATTTGATATATGTTGCCACTTTTAGAAAAATGTTTTTTAAGTTACATCTACTAGCAGGGCATGATATCACCCATGTCCTCAAAATATAAATTCTAAATGTTACTGTCACTCTTTAAACATATTTTTCCATGTTACAAAGTAATATACATGTTTTTAAAGCGATTTAAAAGTGATAATTTTTAAGAAAATTATCTTTTGCATTTAAGCTTTTGAGCTATGTAGTCTAAAGATCGTGCATTTAAAAGTATCATTCTTTACAGAGGTAGGATTTTGTTATCTCTCTGTATCCTGACTTCAAATTGCAGTGATGTGGAAGAAAAATTTACAGCCATCCCTACCAAAACATGTACCCCTTACAAAACAGGAAAGACATATTTGCAAATGTCAGGATAAAATAAATGAATTGATTTTTCTTATTATGTATTATTTTGTAATAAAAAGTAATATAAAATCCATCTTTCCCAATTATTTGAATTCTCATCTTTCTTATGTGCAACATTCACATAAAAATTGGGGTGTTTGTTTCTAGATATGCTCCTGTTTAGTTTCTCAGCCTTGTTTTTCTGTTCAGTTGTTCAGCTTCTGCATTTCATGTTGGTCTTTCAGAGAGTAAAGGCAATTTTTAATATTTCTTTACCCTGGACAATAAATACATGCTCATCCTTTCAATCAAATTTAGAATTATTTCTCCAAGTTTCTCTAGAAAATTTTTCTATTGGTACTTTTATTAGAACTTTATTTTATTAACTTTCTCATTTTTCTCCAAGTTCAGTACATTACCAGTTATATTGTTATATGGAAATATTTCGTTGATATTATGAACAAATATGTTGACAAATGGGACACTTGCAAGGAGTTCATGAGAGCTGAGACCTAGGGCTGCAGGAATGGGACAAAAAGAGGAGAACTTTGCTCCATATGGAGAGAGCCCTGGGTCAGGCTGTCCTCAGAGAGAGAAGTGCTAGACATCAGCAGAGCATGGGACAGCAAAGAACTGGGCACCCTCGTCCCTCAGGGACAGACACACCACACTCAGGACTGCTATCTTTAGCTCAAAAACAACATAGAACCTTTGGAGGATGTTAAGAGTATAGAGAGGGAGGGAGTTTATATGACAGTTTTACAGACATGTAACTATTAAATGTACTGCTTATTTTAATAATCAATGTTCATTTAAGAAATATTCATATATAGATGTGAAATTAGTTTATATATGGGTATTTGTGTTTTGGAGGTTATGCAGAAAATAAGTGGAAAATTAATTCCATATCTTTTACATACTACAGCAATTTTAAAATTTTCTGCTCTTTAAAGATTTTCCATAGGATACTTTCTGAACTAAGCATTTTTGAGGTAGCATAACTCTATAGTTTTTTTATTTTTTCCAAATTCAGAGATCATCTTTTTTAGTATTTCTTAGCAATTTGATTACATATGTGTGTATATGAATTATTTCTATTTATAATTATATGATATGTACACATACACTCATATAAGGGTACCAAAATATCTTAAAATCATTTTCGTTGTTGAAATTTTAAACACTATGAATGTAATATTGAAATAACCTTCCATATGTAAATATGTTGCTATTTTTCTCATATCTGTGGTGAGATCATTTTTCTTATTTATAGTGATGCTTTCTTTATGTGATTTTTCTTCCCCCACCTATTATTAGCATGGTTAGAAGTAGGGCTATTTTGTTTTAGTTTCAAAGATCCAGCTCTTTAAATACACAGTAACTTATTTTAGAGTCCATGAATATCTATTTCAATCTTTTATATTCTCTTCCTATTATTATTTAAATTTACTTTGCAGATATTTTTCTAACTCATTGGGTTGGATCTTTATTCATATCACATTTTTTTCTATAAAAATACATTATGGGATGCTATAAAATTTATTCTGGGGTATACCTTTATATATATGCCATAAGCACCTACTCATGATGTGTTTAATTTAATGTACCCTTGAACTTCCTTTAGTCCTACCTACTTCCTGTGGACCACATGCTGATTTTGTAAAGAATTTTTTTGCTTATCTGTGGTGTTAGATATCACAAAAAGTATATGCAGACCTGTTTATATGTGGCCTAAGGCAACTTTTATTGTTCCAATGTGCAACAAGAAAGAAAAAAGGTTGGACACCCCCGACTCTATGTAATATTTTAAGCATATGAAAAAAGTATTTAAAATTCTCTGATTTACATGTAAATCTGTTATTATTATTAGAGTTATTATTTTATTATTTTAAAAGTTATTATTTTAGAGTTCTAATATACTTTAGTGAAAGTAATTGTTCTATGGACACCAACTGAATACGGTAAGCACACTTAAAATTCAAATTATAGAATTATTCCTTATTCCATTTATAACACATCACCTTAAGTTATAGTCTGTATATGCTAAAATCATTCTCTTTTTGCATCTTTTAATTCTATTTTTTTGTTTTGTACTTTTCTAGTTTGCTTTCTTCGAAGAGTAAAACCCACATTTTAAATATGTTTATTATGCATCATGTTTTAGCTACAGTTAAAATAGCTTCTTTCTATAAGAATATAATTTCATTGCATGCTTTTTAAAAATCTTTTGGGTTATTGTATATTTTTTCTTCCATATTTTCAAGTGTTTTAGAACACACACACATTCATATACATGTACATATATTCTTTGAACTCATTTTAATACTAGCTACTGAAGTTTTTTTGTGCTTTTCCAAATTAATCTTACTCTTATAGTTGTCTTTCTGTTATAGTCATAAGTAAAAAATCTATCTTTTCTGTCTCATTTACTGAGAGAAAGATGTTAGATTCTTATTAATTATATATGTATTGGTTTATTATTAGTTCTTCCCTTATATGTTCCAAGAGAAACAGAACTTTGTTGGTGGTATCTATAGCTCCTAGAACAATATCTAGTGAAGTGATAGATCATGGTAGATAATTGAATGAATAAATAAGTGAATGAATGAAAGCTGCTTTCTGATATTTCCTAATTTTCACTCTATTTACACAGTATCTAATTTTTAATGTAGCTTATTAGCATTTCGTTTGCAGATCTTGTTTTATATCTATATTTGCATATATGTGTGTTTATTATTAATAAATTATTAATTCTAATAAAAAAGTATATATAAGTATAGATAGAATTATTGTTACATGTACACATATATATAAAAAAGACTGTTCAGTTTTAAGATTATCACAAAAATGCCCAATTCCATTAAATGTCTTACTGAATTACTGTATTTGGTAATTTGAATTGTTTGAATCAATTGTCTTGCAGTCGTACCACATTTCTGTGTAGAAACAAATGGAACCAACTCTGAGTTGCAAGCACCAATTTCCATTCATTCTTCTGCAGCAAGGAGCTAGCTTTGGAATTGCTCTTCATCAAGAAGAAATTGCCAGGAAAGAAGCCACTAATCCAGTCCACCAAAAATTGATTGATTTAGTTATATTATTCTAAAATAATAATGCTTATACAAACATTTTTAAGTGATTCATTTTATTTTTCTTGATATTAATTATCCTCATACATCTCTTCTTATGCCTCTAGGTCAAACTCAACACCATGAATGAAAACAATAAGACCTTGTCCAGTGACTTCATCCTCACAGGGCTCTTCACTCAAAGTAAAGCCTCAGGATTTCTTTTCAGTGTCATTTGTGCCATCTTCTTCATGGCCATGGTAGCAAATGGGGTCATGATCTTCCTAGTCCACACAGACCCTCACCTCCACACGCCCATGTACTTCCTCCTCGGCCATCTCTCCTTCATTGACATGATGTACATCTCCACCACTGTGCCCAAGATGTTGGTTGATTACCTTGTGGGCAAGGGAACCATCTCCTTTGTTGCCTGTACAGCCCAATACTTTCTCTACATGGGCTTTGTAGGGGCTGAATTCTTTCTGCTGGGGCTCATGGCCTATGACCGCTATGTGGCCATCTGCCACCCACTCCGCTATCCTGTCCTCATGAGTCGACGGGTCTGCTGGATGATCTTAGCCAGCTCTTGGTTTGGGGGTGCTTTGGATAGTTTTCTCCTCACCCCCATCACCATGAGTCTTCCATTCTGTGCCTCTCATGAAATCAATCACTTTTTCTGTGAGGCACCCACCATGCTGAGGCTGGCCTGTGGGGACAAAGCTGCCTATGAAACAGTGATGTACATTTGCTGTGTCACGATGTTGCTGATCCCCTTCTCTGTGGTGATTGCATCCTACTCCCGGATTCTCATCACTGTGCAGCAGATGAAGTCAGCAGAAGGGAAGAAGAAGGCTTTTGTCACCTGCTCATCACACATGATTGTGGTGACTCTGTTTTATGGGGCTGCCTTGTACATGTATATGCTTCCACAAGCCTACCACACCCCAATCAAAGACAAAGTCTTCTCTGCCTTTTATACCATAGTCACCCCTCTGTTAAACCCTCTCATCTATAGTCTCAGGAACAGAGATGTTGCGGGGGCCTTGAAGAGAGTTATGGCAAGATGTCAAGTGGCCTGGAGTGCACCAAGAAAATAATTCTGACAGGCTAAAACCACTACATCTGTTTAGAAGTATGTGGGATTCCATCACAGACAATGCGGAGAATTTTGGCAGCAACCGCCAATGTCAATACCTTCATCAAAATGTGAAGCCACTGTAACACTGACACATAATTAATGCCTGAGTTCTGCAAACGCCACGTGAGTTTATTCTTTGTTCCCACTGATTCCAAAGCAATCCATGTATATGAATGTCCCCAAACATCTGGTTCAAATGACATTGTCTGCCCTTCTTCAATGGCCTCTTAAAAACTGGTGGTTTTGACTACATTCTTTAACTATCCATGGATAGATTTTATGGAAGGTTTAGGGATGCTGGCATTTGAAAGAGAGTAAAATGTCATAAAACTTTAAAAGGGATATCTATTTGCAGATTCACACAAGGATTTAGAGATCCCAAAAGCTTTTCTCTAGGTAATGACTGAAAACATTCTTCTTTTATCTAAATTTGAAACTGGGGAAGAAATAAGTCATATTCTGCAGAAAAGCCAAGAATAAACCTCTGAGGGATAAGGATTCTGTGATACTACTTTTTAATGTGGCTAATAATTGTTACATTGAAAGATATAGTGTAAGGTAGTTGAGAAAGTAGTGCCCCCATTAACTAGCAATTTCTGTAATTGCTTTTCAGCTTCTGCCCAATTCTTCAGGATTATTAGACTGCTGGAATCTCTCTTTAGATGTTACTAATGATGGACCTATTTCTAAAATCTTTTTCTTCCAAAGAAATAGTGAGCAGCACATTTTTCCTTCTTTTCAGCACTAGATACTTTTCATTGGCTGAAAGGAAGGAAATAACCAGCTTTTTCTTTGAAACTTAGAGCTGGGAAATGCTTGACTTAGTATCACTACCTTTTAGGGAGCTGAGATCTAGAGAAAAATGGCTTTAGTACTAAAATCCAGGACCACATCTCAGATGCCTTGTGCCACCTCTGTGCCCTGCTTTGCTGGCTTTGTGCTCTGACCAGCTGGACACAACCACAGCCAGGGTCAGTGATGTTCTGCTGCTCACAGATCCCAGAGATGATGGGCAAATGAAACATAGCCTCTCCTATTGTACTGAAAAGATTTCTGAGCATTAGACAAAATTTTTATCAAAATAGACCACTCCTGTGGTGCTGGATTTCCCACCCTGGAACACTGTGGCTTGGGCCGGAAAGCTCATTGATAAAGTACATGTGGTTCTATGAGCATGGTTAGCAACTTCCTAAGGCTCTCTGAGTGGAGGTTCTCATCTCCCTCAATCTTGTCACACTGCCTTGGAAAACACCATGTACCAGATGGTAGGAGTGAGCATTTCCAACCCAAAATATGCTGAAGTTCAAATGATACAATAAATCAGAAGAGAAAGAAGATACCGACTTGTGAGAACTGAGAGTCAATTTTAGCATATAATGACTAGGTGAACTTTCATCAATCATGTGATGTATCTGAGGCCCAATTTCCTCTTTGGTAAAATTTGAGTTAATACCAATTTTTTCCTTGACACACTGTAATGCCCAAGTAAAATGATAAATATAATACATCTTTATAAATAATGATTATTATTTTAATTATTCTTAACAAATATGATTGCCTTTATATGCATTTTTTATAAATTACTCCTATTTTTTTTCCTATCATTCACATATATAAGGGTACTTGTCTTGTTAAGTATACTAAAGTGTACTAAATAGATGTCTGATAGTGAGGAAAAGTTAATATCACAAATATGGTGATTGAAAGTAGATTTTAATAAAAATTAGAAAAAAAATAGATAATGCATGCTTTAAAATAATAATTAAAATAACAATGAGCTATACACCTAGTATGGTTAAGGATGAGAAATAGGAAGATAAAGTCAGTTAGGCTACAGCTTACTTTAGTTTAGTTTAAAATTAAAAGACTATTTGACTGCCACATCACCATTTTGCTTAAGCAACACTTTCTTCTTTGACATTTCAATCCTCAGACCCAGGCCATAAAGATGTATAATTTAAGAAACTAAGCAAACAATCTCAGGAAGAGAGAGATAGTGTTCCATTGTTTGAGTAAAAATTACTTTAATATGGCTGTACATTAAGTTCTACATTCAGTTGTAATTCACTGGATGCCTTTTCTTTGCAAATTTCTATAAAAATGGCTGCATTTCTAACCAAGGCAGAATAGTCTTGGAGAGGCCATTCTCACTGTTCTGAAGAATTGCTGGCCTTCTAATAATAAAGCTTGGTGGACCTATCACTCATATCTGCACATTGGCTGGACAGTGACAGACAGAGGGACCCCTGTATCCAGTAATATTTCAATGGCTACAATTAAAAATAATGAAAATACCAATGCTCGTGAAACATAGGAGCTCTCATTCATTATTGGTGAAAATGCAAGATGGTACAGTCACTTTGTATGACAGCTTGGCAGTTCCTTACAAAATTAGACATGATCTTGCCATATAACATGGAAATTGTACTTCTTGATATTAACCTTACTGTTTTGAAAACTTATGCTTACACAAAACTAAAATGTGAAGATTCATTGTAGATTTTTCATAATCACTGAAACCTAATCAAGATATCTTTCATAGTTGAATGGATAAACAGTGGCCCAGCCACACAATGCAATGTTATTTGATCAAAATTGAAATAAATTAGCAAGCCATTAGAAGATATGGAGGAAATTTAAATACATATTATTAAGTAGTAGAAGCCAATTTGAGAAGCCATCATCATAATGTATGATTCCAACAATATGCCATTTTGGAAAAAAAATATAACTATGGTGACAATAGAAAGATCTGTAGTTGCCATAGAGAGAGACAGGGGAAGAAGAGATGAATACTCATAGTACAAAGAATTATTACAGCAGTGAAATTGTTGTTTATGATACTGTAATGGGAGTTACATTTGTGAACTAAAATCCTATTTTAAGTTGCCTGCTGTAACTTTTAATAGTTGCAGCAGGCAACTATTCTTCCAGGACCCATCCTAGTGTTAAATAGATAGCTAAGAATTTTTACTGGATCTTCTCCAGTGGCTGACTGACTGGATCTCCTCTTGGCTTAGGAAGATACTTTTCTCATCCCAAGGGGAGCACCAAGTGTTTTTCAAATTTATCAAAAAGAATTAGTAATGGTTGAAGGAAAGATTGACTTGTCTTTTAGATTACAATTAACTCATTCTGCCATTTAGATGACTCTATTGCCTTGGCCTGAGTTTCTTCGTAAGGAAATAGAAAATTCTGCCCCAGATATAGTTGTTGATTTCCTAAGAATAAAATTGGCAGCAGGTTAGTAGTGTACATCCCTTTCAGCAGTAACTTGAGGAAGAGTATGAGCAATATTTCTAAAGATTTTGGTAACTGTTCTGAGATTCATAATGTCACTCCACTATTGGTCTCTAAAAAATATGTAGTCATTGTGTGGCACATAGAATAATTTTTGGCATGATGTTCCTAAGAAGTCAGTAGTTTCACATAAGAAATATACAGCCATCTGTGGGGAGGAGTGCGGGGGACCAGAGAGCAGCAGGCAACTATTCTTCCAGGACCCATCCTAGTGTTAAATAGATAGCTAAGAATCTAGCTCTCCCAGGAAGGAGAACAAGGTCTGTCTTCTTGGTGCCACCCATCACCCTACTAATCTATCAATCACACTTAGTGTGCCAAATGAAAAAAGATGCCGTAGACTCTGTAGCTCAACAACTAGTACAATAAAGTCTTAAAGGTGACCTAGAACATTCTTACCACTAATTATCATGTGGTCCACACTCCCCCATGGGCTCTCACACAGGCTCCTGGGGGTCTGAATGCACAATAAGACTCTGGTTCCAAGGCAATCTCTGATCTAGACAGTATAGAAGAGAATCAGTGGCAATAACCCATGCCTTTTTCTTGTTCCAACAATGAGGACCTGTTCACTGTCTATGGCAAAGGTATCCTACTCTATAAGCCTATATCTTAGTCTGAAAACCTTTCTCTTCCTCAATAAACTTTGTTTCCTGTTTGCCTTACTTTGGTGTGTTTAGTCAGTAGTCATGTTATTTTATTGTTTGGGGTTCATTGAGGATACAAAGAATTAGGTTACATTGCTTGAATTTGTTAGGTAAAGTCCCTCTTAGAGTTGTGTTCCACCCCCCAAGAGGTGTG